TTCTCAGCCCATCATGGATAATAACTGGAGCGCCTTACTTTTCTCACCCCCATCCCCTTTAATTCAATTTCTTTTGATTTTATTTCTTTTTTACATTTCTTGCATTTTATAAAAATCACATAAAATAGAAAAATTAATATTTTTTAATGCTTGTTTTTTCTACATGTTCATAAATCTGTCTAGAAAAATGTAAATAAATAAAATTCCATTTTATTTTTCTTTTAATATTTTTAGCATATTATTCATTTAAATAGCTTTAATTGATTTTAGTTGATACTCAATTTTGTAGGATTTGTTTTAGGACTTTCCCTTATGATTTTTGAGCCATTCTTTTTGGCATAGTTAGGTATTGAATCATAGTTCCTATAGGGTTTAATTCATGATTTGTAGATTAAAATTTGATTAGTTTGTTAGGCTAGTCTTAGTGTACTCAAATTAGGGTTTTAGGTTGCATAAGTAGATTTGAACAATTTTGTTTTGGGTTTTATAGGCCAAATTAGTGTATGGGGAATATATGGGTTAAGGGTAAGTATGTATAGAATCCCCTAGAATTTTGCTAGGATATTGTATAGTATTTTAGTATTTCTAATTGATTTTTGAATGTATGGATAGTATGTGTGGTGCTTAAGGGCATAGTTTGTATTGTTGTGCTTGCTTTTCTTCTCCTTTGAGTGTGTGAGCCTCGAAGATTGAGTTGAAGACCTTGTGGATCATCATTGAAGACTTTGAAGACCTTGAGGAGGAGCTTAGTTTTAGCTTTTGTCTGTTTTGTTTATAGGATCATAAGTGCATAGGTAGAGCTTTAGATAGAATAATTCCATTCAATAAACAAGGAGTGTCTTGCTCACCTCCTTCCTTCTCTATGATATAAAGTCCCTTAAGGGTATTCACCTCTCTCCTTGGGAGGGATTAGTGACCTTGCCCTATAAGGTAGAACTTTGAGAGAGCCTTTCCCTTTGATGTTAAGTCCTCAATGGCATCCTTTGGAAGTCAGTGAGCACTTTAACATCCTCATCTCATCTTGTTGACTGAATCTTATTTGATGGAGCATTTGGATTGCTGAAGATGAAGAAAGCAATGAAGAGTATTGAAGATTTGATTGAAGATCTAAAAGCCCTTGAAGATAGAAGCTGAAGCTTTGAAGAGGATGATTCCTTTGGAGATTGTTGAAGTCTGAAGACTTTGTGAAGATCAAGTTGATACCTGAAGATCCCTGAAGATAGTGAAGCCTGAAGATGGAGCTGATCAAAGAAGCTGAAGCTTAAGGGAGAAGATGAGTTGATACTCATGTTGTAGGATTGGTACCTGGAAAGCAGTTGACGATTGAAGTCTGAAGACTGAAGACTGCTGGGAGGCTTCTGTTTTTCTTTTCTGTATTGTGTGTTTTGTTTGATTTGTCTGTTGCATTAGAATAAGTCCATCTAGAATAAGTAGAATCTAGGATCATGATTGCATTAGAGGTTGAGTTGTTCCCTCTGCTTGTATTGTTATTGCGTGGCTTTGCTTGCGGGTATTCGGTAGAGCCCAGCTCCCTTGCCCATGTGTTTTGTTTGTCTGATGGCAATTTCATTTCTTTTATCTGTATGATTGCAGTTTACTGTTTATTGCTTGATAGCATGTTGTTTATTTTTCAGTATGATTACTGTTATTTCATGACTGGCTTGAGGTTGAGATGAGCTTGTGGAGGCTGAAGCCCCACACACATTTCCTCCCTCACTTGCATTGCATCCATTTTACTGTTAAGCTGACGCTTTGCCTGTTTTGATGTATCATTGACATGATCCCTTAGGACTCTCATTTCCTTTGATAAGGATATGATGATAGACTTTTAGGTTGAAACCTATGCATGACAACATCTAGGAGTTCCCTGTTCAAACCTCAACCATAGGATGAATCCATGGCATGATAACAGTAGGACTTGATAGTCTCCCTCCTAGTTGGGCCCGTTCTCTTCTCATCTCAAAATAGTTTAAGATACAGTAATCATGAATGATTTCTTTCGTACGTTACGAGCCTTAAGCTATCTGAGAAAGGGTTGCAGGAGAGCTTCTTTTCCACAGTCTGGATGTTTCGTATGGTACCCTTTGGGTGACATGCGACGCATTCACTCTCAGGTCATAGTCTCTAGTGCGGTTAAAATCGCAAACACAATAAAAAACACTTATTTCGTAAAACAGGAAATAAACCGTAGTTTCCCGAACTACGTGAGCTCTGATCTCTCATGCCTGTTGAGAGTACGTAGGCACAAGATGGCGAAGTCTTGGCGAGCTACCTTCCCCCATAACCCTTCGTAGGCCGAACTACGTTGACTCTGATTTCTCATTCTCTGATGAGAATACGTAGGCATAAAGTGCGACGCTTTGCCGAGTCATTTTTCTTTTCTTTTTCAGCCAGCCTTGATAGGTAGATAGAATAAAACCAACCCGTCCAAGTAAACAAACAAGCGGGGATCCCGTCGAGTACGACGGACGTGAGGGGTGCTAATACCTTCCCCTTGCGTAACCGACTCCCGAACCCAGACAATGGTTGCGATGACCTTGTCTTACCCTTATTCGTTAGGTTTTTCCGATCGTTTCCTTTCTCGCTCTGAGGGATAAATAACGAAAGGTGGCGACTCTTCTGTTGTGCCGACACCTTATTTTCGCGCAAGCGACACCTTCCACTGCTAGTCAAGTGAAAGGGCGCACAAAGGGCCAATGACAAAATCCTTGACCTAAGCCCTACTCAAATGGCACAACTAAGCAAGTTGGTGTCTGGGAGTTCTCCCTAACACATCCGGGGAAAGATCCCCGCGCACAAAACCTAGAACTCTCATGAGGGAACCACTAGAGTCCACAGCCCTCTCCGGCAGCGAACACCGTCGCACCGTCACTACTCCGGGATTAACTAAGACCTATGGCTTACTAATTCGCCCTTTCCTAAAAACAGCCACTGCAACGCTAACAGTAGAAAGATGGCCGCGCCATCATTTGCCGCCAACAGCCACCAAAACACCTTAGAACTACTTCGTTTCAGTCTTAACCACATGCATTCTACAACATCAAACCAAAAAAACAAAGAGTTAGCAAGAAATCGATATACTTACGTGATCGAGGAAGAGATTCTAGACTTGAGTAGCTTTGGTCGAACGTCGTACGGTGGCCAGAGCGAAGCTAAAAGGTAGTGAGCGACGGAGAACGGGGAACAATGAGCAAGAAGAGAGAGAAGCGAAAGTTCTGAATGAATGGACCCTCTCACTATTTATAGGCAAATACCAGGCACGTGCACGAGCACGCGCGGGTAGGGCATCGTCATAATTCTAGCCTAACCATCATCGCGCATTTAATACAACACACGACTCGAGGCACACGTGGCACCCCCACTCTTCAGATCCCATCAACCGTTGAGCTCTCAGGACCTCAAGCTACCCAACAATGACATTTCATACGCTAGGCAGGGATCCCTCCAGACACAAGATTACAACGACTATGCCTGGGAAGCAGACTTTCCTTAAATCATCACTACCATGCTCTGTAGCAACGACTTGGGGGGCTACTGTTCTGGACTGCCCTAATGGCTAGGTATGACCCAATCCACTTTTGCTTCCAGAATGACCCAATTGCCTAAGCCCAACCACTTTGAGGGAAGAATTTACCTTTTTGCCCCTCCAACAGGGGAAGCTGACCAATTTACCATTGGTCACAACACTTCTCCTCGTTAATCTCTGCCCGTCACGCACGGTTCTACCATCCAGGAACAACCAAGACGCTTATGCCCGTCCCAACGGCTAGTTATGACAGTTACCTATTCTTCAGAAAACGGTTATCTCGTTCCGGAAATAGGGACCACTGGCCAAGCGTTGGGGGCACTATAAAAACTGTCTCACTTGAGAGAGTCAGATATTCAAGATTCACTCTGAAACACTCATATTTTGTATTTGCTCTCTTTCTTACTCATTTTCTTACTTTAGCATCGGAGTGTCTTGCAGATACACCCTCTGCTCCTCTTTCACGTTCAGTATTACAGACGCTTGTCTTTGACCCACCCCAGATTCTGATCAATCGGTAAGATCAAATATATTTTTATGTTATAGAATGTTAAAGTTAATTCTTTAATTTAGAAAAAATGAATAAAATTTTTTTTATAATTGATTAAGTGATATAAATTGGCTTAAAAAAAATTGGCTTATATAAAAAAAAGATTCTATTTTATAAAGGTAAAAGAAACAGGTCTGACTTTATTTTATTGATTAGGTGATGGAACATACATATAGTAAACACTCCCCAAATCAGACAAACCACAACATTTTGCTGCAGTCTGGACCAAATCTCATTCAGGTAGATACAAGTCTAAAAATCTCAACAAAGTAGGTAGTGCTATTTGCATCAAGAATGATCGAGGAGAATTTTGTACTCTCAGAAACTGAGCGATTCTTGCTCATCCTTTATATAGGAAAAGTTCTTGGACTTTTGCTTGCTCTTACTCTTACAAGTTTATCCACATCTATATCTAATTTTCATGTTTTTATTGATATACATGCATCTATCATTTATGAAATGTTATAGTAAAAAAGAGACAATCACATGTGAGGGTTAATTTTGTCCATTCATCACTACATATAGAACAATCATGGTCATGCCCACCCATTGACAAGACTATCCCTACCATACGAGTGGTTACTTCTTACAAATAAAATATAAAATAAAACTAAAATATCCAGATAATAAGTGAGAGAATAGAAGAAAACGGTTAAGAAAAAAAAAATAGAAAGAGTGTGGCGTGTATTGTGGCCTCTCTGGAGACACATGAAAACCAACTCATTCAATTTTCTTGTTTCTTCTCTGTAAATTATATTCCCTCTCTTTCCAATAATTTCACACAAAAATTATCCAAATTACTTTGATCCTGAACTTTCTTCTTCTTTCTTAACTAATAACAATGTCATAACAACAACAACTCTAATACTCTATCATTCCTAATTCAGTAACCGTTTTTCCCTTTCTTCTTACTCTGTTTCTTCCATGGCTTCAAAATCTACTACTAGTTCTACTAGGTTAGTCCACTTTTGCTTTTGAATCAGTCTTTTGGTTTACTGTTAAGATCTGATTTGGATTCTTCGGTTACTTCTTTTCTAAGCATCGTTTTGTTGTTTGATTCTGTTTGATTTGATCTATTAATTATGATCTTATGCTATTTTAGTATTTTATTAAATTTTTTTTTCCATTTTTGATATATATCATTTCTATGTACTATTCTAAAATTAGGCTTGTTTATTTATTTATCTTGATTTTCTACAATTATATACATTGTTGATTTGTATCATTATTAATTTGGCTTATTAATGATACTGGATGCTTAATTTGGAATAAGAACTGTGTTTTTGTGACTTAGATCTATCTGATTCCTTGGAAATTGAATATAATTATTGTTGTTTCTTTTCGTGCAATTTGATGTCTCTGCATAGCTACTAACTAAGTATACTTAACGAGATCTATTGTGTTTCTTTTAATGCGTTGTGATCTGATTTTGTTGACATTATGAATTGATAGATCGAAACTATCGGAAAATTCCAACAAAGGTGCAGCTCAAGCAACACTGAGAGTCAGTAAAGTTAGTAAAGTAGTGAGCAAATCAGAAACTGAATCGCCGCCTGCATTGCAAAATTCTCGTGTTTCTGTGGAAAGATCGCCGCGATCTGTGAACTCTAAGCCCCCTGTTGAGCGGAAATCAGTGAAAGCTAGCTCCACAACACCCGATGTAAGTTATATAGCGCATTTAGTGTTCTGTCTTTGTTTGTACTTGAACTGCTTTTCTTCATTTCAACTTCAATTGCTATTTTTGGAATGAAGAAGTATATGAACTTCCTAACATCTCAAGTATGTCTGAGATGTGTTACTCTTATTGGTTAATGCATGAGTTACTGGCCTTTCATTCTATGATGTCTAGTATTCGATTTGATAGAATTCTAAGTCCAATCAATCTGACTATGTGCATATCTATTTTGAACATGAATCTGTTCTTAAGTCTGATTCACAATGATGAAACCCGATTCATTCTAATGAATCATCACTACCTAAACTTAACCGACCATTTTTTTTGTCAATTTTGTATAGCTAGACATTTTTCTCTTACCATTTGATATATGACTTGAATCTTGAACTATTCAGATTAGTATATGATATAAAAGCTTAAAGTAGGTCTTTTGTTTAATGATTTTTTCTTTATATATTCCTTTTTATTTTTCTTTCTTTCCAGAAACAAGCACCAAGAGCTGCAAAGGGTTCAGAATTGCAGAACCAGTTGAATGTAGCTCAAGATGATCTAAAGAAAGCAAAGGAACAGATCCTTCAGGTTGAGAAGGAGAAGGAAAAAATTACTGATGAGTTGAAAGAAGCACAGAGAGTAGCCGAGGAAGCAAATGAGAAACTCAGGGAAGCATTGGTCGAACAAAAGCGGGCTAAGGAGGAATCTGAGATAGAAAAATTCCGAGCTGTTGAATTGGAACAGGCTGGAATTGAAACTGTGAAGAAGAAGGAAGTAGAATGGCAGAAAGAGCTTGAAAGTGTGAGGAACCAGCATGCCTTGGATGTGGCTGCTCTTGCTTCCACCACCGAGGAGCTTCAGCAGATTAAACAAGAACTTGCCATGACGTGTGATGCTAAGGACCAGGCATTGAACCATGCTGATGATGCAACTAAAATTGCCGAGGTTCATGCTGAGAAAGCCGAAGTCTATGCAGCTGAATTGGCGCAGTTGAAGGCCTTACTGGATTCAAAACAAGAAACAGAAGCAAGTGATAATAGGCTTATAATGAAGTTGAAAAAAGAGGTAAAAGCTCTCAAGCAAGAACTTGATAAGGGAATGAGTTATGATGAGAAGTTGACAGAGAAAGAAAATCTTATTGAACAACTTAATGTAGAACTTGAAACCTCAAGGATGGCAGAATCTTATGCCCGCAGTCTGCTAGAGGAGTGGAAGAAGAAGGTCGAGGAACTGAAAATGAAGGTTGAAGAATCGAACAAGTTGGAGAGATCCGCATCAGAATCCTTGGAATCTGTAATGAAACAGCTAGAAGGAAGCAATGATCTGTTGCATGATGCAGAGTCTGTAGTTGGTCCTCTTAAAGAGAAGGTGGGGTTGTTAGAAATGACAATTGGGAGACAAAAAACTGATCTTGAGGAATCTGAACGTCGCCTTCTTATGGTTAAGGAAGAAAACCTCGAAATTTCAAAGAAGATTGAGTCTCTCAAATCCGAACTTGAGACAGTGAAGGAAGAGAAAGAACAGGCTTTGAACAATGAACATCTTGCAGCCTCTAGTGTGCAGACCCTATTAGAAGAGAAAAACAAACTTATCAATGATTTGGAGAAGTCTAAGGAAGAAGAAGAAAAGAGTAAAAAGGCAATGGAAAGCTTAGCTTCTGCATTACATGAAATATCTGCAGAATCTAGAGAAGCGAAAGAAAACCTACTTGGCAATCAAGCTGAAAGGCAAAGCTATGAGAACCAGATTGAAGATTTAAAGTTAGTCTTAAAAGGTACTAACGAAAAATATGAGTCGATGCTTGACGATGCGCGACATGAAATTGATGTTCTTATATTCAGTATTGAAAGCTCGAAGAACGTCTTTGAGAACTCGAAGGCTGAGTGGGAGCAAAAAGAGCTTCATCTAGTCAGCAGCCTGAAGAAAGCTGAAGAAGAGAATGCGGCCACGGAAAAAGAAATAAATAGGTTGGTTTATTTGCTCAAAGAAGTTGAGGAAGAAGCAAATTCCAACAGGGAGGAAGAAACTCGGTTGAAGGAAAATCTGAATGAAGTTGAGGCTGAGGCAATCCACCTGCAGGAAGCTCTGAAGGAAGTAACATCTGAAAACGTTAAATTGAAGGAGAATATATTGGATAAAGAAAATGAAATGCAGAATGTTTTTCACGAAAACGATGAACTCCGAGCTAGGGAAGCCGAATCTATTAAGAAGGTGGAAGAGTTGTCTAAGTTGCTGGAAGAAGCTACAACTAGAAACCACAATGAGCAAGAAAATGGTGATCTTTCAGACAGTGAGAAGGACTATGATTTGCTTCCTAAAGTAATTGAATTTTCTGAACAGAATGGTCATGGATATGTTGGAGAGGACATTCCAAAGGTTGAACTTTCCATCAATCAAGGACTAAAACACAGCTTACAAGAAGAAAGTATAATCTTGAATGACAAAACCGACGAGAAAATTGAATCTCCGGAACCTGTGCATGCGAATGAAAAGCCAAAGGAAGATGAGAGGAAAGGAAATGATGATCCAGAAGAAGTAGAATTCAAAATGTGGGAGAGTTACAAGATAGAGAAAAAGGAGTTCTCTTTCTCGCCAGAGAGAGAAGCAGAGCCTGAATCACTTGAAGAGGAAGTTGAGTCAAAGGTAGAAGAAGATGGCAGTCGTGAGAGCTTTGATAAGATAAATGGAACCGCTGTAACAGAGAACATTGATAATGGTGGGAGCTCACCATTAAAAGAACAACAACAGCTGAAGAAGAAGAAGAAACCTTTGCTTGGAAAGTTTGGAAGCCTGCTCAAGAAAAAGGGTGGTAGCAACCAGAAATAGAAACAACATTTTCAATATTTGTGTGCATATTGATTGAACAACATTCAACATTTGTGTGCATATTGATTGAACAACATTAATTTGTTTGCACTTGTTTGGTTTATGATTTTTTGCTTCTATATAGAAATATAGGATTTTTACGAAATGGGCTTGTAATGTTTAGGATTTCGATTTTTTATGCTTGTGTATGATGATGATGAAGCAAATCAAACTATTTTTTCCCACCATTCCTTGTTCTTGGCCACTAAAGAAGTGTATCTGTATTTTTGTTTATTCATACTCCTCCACATTTCTAAATAAGCACGCATATTTTCAGAAATGTACTTGGGAAAAACATAATTTATGTTTAAGTTTTTTTTATGTTATTGTATTTTTTAAAAATAGATATTTTGTTTGGTAAGGGTTAGTATATATTTTAAAACAATAATTTTGTATAAAAAAATTAAGAACACTAATTAGAGAATTAAAAAATGATTAAAAATTTTCTTGTAATATTACCAATATATTAAATGTTATACTATGATCATCCTATGTTTGTAGTCATCGGAAATATCTCAAAATTTACTTTTAATCCCTTCTAACGATTGTTAATAGAAGCTGACGTAAGATGATCCGTGATAGTGCCAGTATGACAAAGATGATAACATGACTGTCATGTGACATTTTCTTTCCATTTTATATTATTTATATTAATTAAATTTATAGCAACAAAGATTATGTTGATAAATATGTCACACATGTACATCATATAGAAACCTATAAATTGTAATTAATTTGTAGCTAATCCATAGACCTTGTATTTTTCGATTCTTTGCTACAAAGTTTATTGTATTATAAGGATCTATCACACAATTTATTTTTAATTTAAGATGAATTAAATATGATTTTTTAAGAGCTGATTTTCTATGAAACAGAAACAAAGAAAACATTAGCATATGATTAAATTTTGAGTTATTATTTTGTGGGGACTTATATCATAAACTATAAAGTATCTTCAAAGTTTTATTTCATTTCAAATAAGTCACGATTTGTTTTGGTTTTTTGATCAAAATACATATATGTGTTTTGATAAAAAAATCAAATTAAATCGAGACTTTATTCGAAATGCCATGAAATTTTTCATATCATTTTTATGTGTTACTAGTAGAAGACCTGTGCGTCCGTACGGGTATTAAAAAATATATTAAATTTTTTATTATTTATTATTTTTTTAATATTGTAATTTATCAGTTATGTTAGTATATAATATATTTTTAAATTATTGACATATTATTATTAACATGAAAATTTTTATTAAAAAATTGTTGAAATAAATTCCTTATTAACTATATATATTTGGAGATGTAACATAGTTTATTAACAAATTTTAATATAACTTAAATAGAATATAATAATATATTGAAGCAATACATAATCAATCATGATTCATGATAAGTAATAACATTCTAAATTAAAAATAAAATATAATAAAAAATTCTTTAGATATATCATTTAAAAAAAAACTAAACACTATAAAAAAACACTGCATATTTATCTCTCCAATAATGTATTGCTTGTTTTAAAGATACATTTTTGACAATATTCAACATGTATATTGCTTGTTTTATAAATAATTATTTAATTATTTAATTTTACATAAAATTAGTATTTCATAATTTAAAAAGTGATAGCAGTTAAAACCTTATTTTTTTAACCATAAAAAAGAAATGGATTTAAAACGAGTGAATTACAAGGAAGGTTGATTCAACAACAATGAATACACTCGCAATATTTTAAACTTGTTTGACATGAATAAACTAATATGAATTCACTCACAACTAAAATAAAATGAATAAGTTTAAATGCAATTTGGTCTTGTAATAATCCACCGTGATCAGCAGAAACTCCTACCCTTTCAACAGCTTCGAGTCCATCAGCTTGTGACATCAAAAGACAAATAGCATAGAAAATTATTATCAGAAGACAAATATGGAACTACAATGTTAAGAAAACATCATATAGTTCAAAAAATGTCAGCTACATAATGCTTCAATCTTTAAAAGTCAGAAAATAACTTCTTTAAAAAGCTTAAAAATTCTAAAATGACCTAATTAATTACTTTTAACATTAAAATATGTCGTTATAGTCAAGTCCTAGGCAATTATGATAAAATTAACACTACAGATAAGTATATGCACAAAATACAGAAAGATCAAAGTGAGCACCTTAGCATATAAGAAGGAACCAATCCATTTTCATCAACATAAAAATATTGTGGCTGAAACTATAAAGAAATGTTTTAATTCAATACACATATACATGAATAACACAATGCAATCACTTCAAGATGTTAAAATTTATTTTAAGACAATAGAACCATATCCTAGGTGAAATCACCAGCTAACTTAAACCTAATTTAAGGAAAACCTCACATGGTAAATAACCAGTAAAAGTATGAGCTAAAGAATCATCAGTAGAATCATGAATGAAGTGTGGAACATAACTATAAACATCATCTCACCAGTAGAATCATCATTCCAGCATATGCACTCAATAATTTCCAATGACGACTGAAACACCCTATTTCCCAAAATTTAATAAAATACAAATATTTCAATTAGACATCAGAGTTTCCTTTCAAAAGTGGGATATCACATCCAAATAATTCAGCATACTCATCATTAGATGATTTTCACAATAAAACAGCGGAAATTATCCTTAGTCAACATTCACGACCATCCGCGAAATTACACAAAAACATCATTAAAAGGTTCACCAAACTTGATACGTCACAAGAAATAAAACAATTCAACATAAAGCAATTAAATGCCCAAGTTCCGTGTTATGTATCAGAGCATCCTACGACTCGACTCGCACACCACTATCCAAGCTAGCTAAGTACCTGGATTGTTTGTACCTCCGAAGAAGTACAGACCACAACAACAACAAAGGGGTGAGAAAACATGATCAAAATTATCGGTAATACAGTACATGAAATAAAGGTAGTCATCATATCATTCATCACCCAACATTCATCAAACACGACCTACCTTCCAACATCAACACAATACACCATAATGCAACTCAACACCATGCATGCAGTACCAACTCATTGATTCATTTAATCGAACCCCGGATAGATCACATACACCCGTCCTTGGCCATGATCTATCCCCACCATTCTCCGCAATGGAGTACAGATGAATCACATACACTCCTCTTGAGAAATGATTCATCTCACCAAACACCATGATATGCATAACACCAAATGCACAATAAATGAACTCAAGCACACAAGGTGCACACGATCCCCTGATCACATCACCATACATCATACATACATATTGTTCATCAATTAATCATTTTAATTAAAGTCACACGATCCCCCTGATCCCATCACCATACATCATACATATATTACACGCCAATCAATTATGTTAATCAAATTTAATAATAGGGAAATCTACATTTGAACACCGAGTACACACGATCCTCCCGATCACCTCACTATGCATCATATATATATATATATATATATATATATATATATATATATATATATATATATATATATATATATATATATATATATATATATATATATATATATATATATATATATGTCTTACTCACCAATTAATTATATCCATTAAATTCAATATTTCATAATTTCACCTTCCAACTCCAAGTATACCCTCTTCACCACTAAACACCATCTCTCTACCTATCACAATCCAAGGGGTCCTACAAAACGTATCACAGAGCAAAACAGCACAAAATCTCATTTCTGTCACGCTCGCTGGCTCGTTCGCTTAGCGAAGTCCTAGCGATCGCTCGCTGCTAGCTCGCTTAGCAAACTCCCTAGCGAAGGCAGACAGTAGCTACTGGAAGGGTTCGCTACCCAACTCGCCTAGCGAACCTGCTAGCGAATGCTCGCGACTAGCTCGCCTAGCGAAGGTGCTAGCGAGCGTCTGCGATCTCTCAAACCCTCACTGTTCAACAATGTCATCTTGCTCAATTCCAAGCCTATCTCTCTACTTCCATATCCCATCCTATGATTACTACAACTAGTACACACCACTCTAGTCATTATTCTATCAATTTATCTCCAGAACCCATACCTATGTCCATCAGCAGAACTCCAGAAGTTACTCAGAGACTCACCAAATCACACCATATGTGCACCCATTCATCAATGGCAGCAACAATCATAAACACATCAACATGCACACCAATTTCATCATAATCAACAACAATCAAAGACATATCAACATAACAAACATATTCATCAAAATCCCTACGGGGTTAAGGAATCCCCACTATCCAATTTCATGTAAACACCAATCCCAATCAGTTTCTCCCCCTTACCTCAACTAATGCTCCGATTGACGAAGAATCCCTAATAATCTGACAGCCCTAACCTTCTTCTCTTCCCTTGTTCTTCCTCCTGGTTCTTTCTCTTCAATCTTTCTCTCAAATTGGTTTTATCGTGTTCTTCTCCCTTCTTCTCCCAAAATCCCCTTTTATACTTATTCCAATAATAATAATAATAATAATAATAATAATATTACTATTAATTATTAAATTATCACCAATATTAATTATATTATATTAATATTAAACTCCATGGCTTAATAAAATAATCCTCATCAATTAAGGGCACCCACCAACGCGCTCAGACACACTCCTCACACAAGGACACACCAAAAAGACTAAATAATTAAAATGGGTGTTACAACTCTCCTCCACTTTAATTATTTTCGTCCTCGAAAATTACCTGATGGAAACAATTCTGGATACGCTTCCCGCATCCTGCTTTCTAATTCCTAGGTCACACTGCCTCCTGCAGCACCTCCCCAAGCCACATTCACCAAAGATATCTCTTTCCCTCAGAGTTGTTTCTCGTTTACCAATTTGCACTAGAAGTGTCTCAACAATCAAATTATCTCTCACTTGCACCCCATCCAATTTAATCAAAGCACCTCATTGGCTTAAACACATGAACACACCCTGCAGTTTTC